ATAAGGGGTGTTTGTACTTTTTTTCAACAACCATCTGGTGACTTCCAGGTTGAGAACCATTCGATTATAGCACAGTGAGCTTTCAAGGACATTTGATACACTTGACACTGCATTTATTGCAGTTATGTATGCTACTTATTTTCTTTCCCCAAATTATATGTATGTAAAATTTGCATACATTTCACAAATGAGGCAGAAATTCAAGTTTAATTCAATGTATTAGTTTCCAACCTGCCTAATTTCAATTAGCTACAAAACCACAGCCCAGTTTGCCAGCGAAATGTTTTGTAAAGTCTGTCCAACCTAGAAATACTGGTCATTAAAGTAAACTGTAGCTGAAGCTTGGTAACTTCAGGGAAAGACAATGATAATGAATGATAATAAAACCTAAAACATTTATTTTTTACTGTTATTCTGAGATTTCTGTCCATATTTTGACGCTACATTAGAATTTGCCTCGTTTTCAATAACATCCAACGTATTTTTCTCAACCAACCTTCACATTTTGAAAAAAATATACTGTTCACCAGCACATTGTCACTGTCCTTCACCTTCCCTCCTCATTCCCTGAACACCCATCCTTGAACGAAAGTCTCTTTTGCTATTGAACGCCTTGTTTACTCTCTCTCTCCCCATCTCTGCTATGAGGAGCTGGATTAGTGATTCCAGTGTTGGGGATTTATCAGAGTCCAATAATCGTTCTCCAGCTCTGTGAGGCCTTGAGCACCTCTAATTTTTCCCAGGCCAGGTGGCCACAAGCGGCTTTCAAATACCTGCAAAGATGTCTGCCAGAGGAATGTGGTGTGACGGCACTGCTTATTCTACCCAAAGAATCCCTTTCTAAAGTGTGTGGTGGTTCAGTAGAGCGGTGGAAAAGGATTGTGGGGATTGTTTGTACACACTTTATATGTGAGGAGCTTATGGGATCATTCATGCGCTGGCATTTAGAGCACATGTGAAGCCTAGTGAATGAGGAATGGCAGAGATGAATGAAAGAACAGGAACAGGATTTTGGGAAATTATGCTTAGTGTACATAGCAAAGCAACCATTGTAAACCATGCAAAGACTGTATTAGAAAGGCAGAACTGAAGGGCTGTTTCTTTCTGGGGAAAAATGGGCAAAATGGGCAATACGACAATATTTATCATTATTGTGATAAATTGCAATGCAATATGTCTCAATATGCTTTTCTGAGCATAGTGTGGATATAGTAATATATTAAAATACACTTACCAAGTGCATGTTTGATTACAAAGAGAGCATAATTAATATTTAGTGCAGCACAGTGTGGAAATCATAGTTTTTGATGGTATTTTTAAAATGTGGCATTACTTTGTCTGTTCTAACTTATGAGACGTCAGAAAAAATAAATAATGTGACAGATCATGTATGGTAAAAATATTTTTTTGGGCATTTTGTCATGTCGCCCACCTATATATGCAGTCACCTAGGGGTCCCTGAGCCACAAAGGGCTGTTAGTTTTCACAGCAGGGGGTTTTCCCTCATTTCTAACTAGCAGCTCAACGCACACTGACAACATTTCACGCACAGACAATTAACAGTGTTCTAGTGTTCTGACAAAATTACAGGGAAAAATATTTTATTTGTTCATACGAATTCAAAATATCGGAGTCAATTTCCATCCCATGAGCAGAACAGTGGAATTACATCAATTCCATGCCTGTGCAGAAATCTACAAAGCATAAAATGAAAGAAAATTTTCATTTGTTAAGAATGTCTAAATGAACATTATAGAACAGACAGTTCCGGTACTACAAGTTGCATTTGAAGTGGCTGTAAAACACTCAATATACGCACATATTCAGAATCATGGATACTAAGTTGCTTGGTGACTATAGTCTACTGTTAACAAACTACACTGAATGGCAGAAGAGCTGTCTGTTGTTATTATTAGGCCTAATTAGAGAGGGGTGATATGAAAAAAAAAATAATATCATCTATAAATCTACTTCAAGAAATATTCAAGATACATGACATGTCTCAATATTTACTTTTCTGACATCTGATAAGCTGGAATGGAAAAAAGCACCAGTGGTGCCATTAGGAATAGGAATACATTTTTTTTTTTTATTTCATACACTGTCCTGCACTAAATCCAATTAAACAGGACTAATACTAAAAAAATGTGTTCTAGAAGCCCTGACATTATCCACAATATGCTCAGAAAAGCAAACTGTGATAAGAAAATGTATCATATATATATATATATATATATATATATATATATATATATTGCCTTGCCCCAGGCCTAATAGTGAATTATGTATATAAAACTGTTGTATTTTATCACATTCTGTTTTATCAGCATTTTGCCTGCTTCGTGTCAACACTAAATTTTAACCTCTTGAACGTTTCCATCTGATTTTATCACCCCAAATCTTTTAAGCTTATGGATTCTGTTTCGGATAACGTCATTCAGATTTGTGGCACAGCTGCTTAGACCGAAAATCCATGAAACACACAAACTCACACACAGGAGGAAAAGAGCCTACAGTTGGAAATGTCACCAACACAGCGTGGGGCCAGCTAGCATCTCGTCACGGAGCTGCTGTCATTAGCTCCTCGGTAGGGCCCTCTGTGTGTCTCCACCCGGCCCATTATCAAACAACATGAAGCCACTCAGCAGCCATTAGAGAACAGGCATCCAAATGCACAAAGAGAAAGAACACTTCACGCAGCTAGCGCACCATTATATTGTCTCTGCAACTCTCTCCACTCTTTCTATGTCTCAAAACTCTGTTGGAGAGGTATAAATTGCTACCTATACGAGCTGCGTTCTATAAGCAGAGTTTAAAGTGTGGAGGAATGAGGGGGTTGGGGGGAGATTGCATTCAAAATGCATTCAAAATCCAGCCAGAAAAAGTCAAAGAGATGCGAGTAGGTGGGGGGTTCTTTACTCAAGCTAATTCAGCTGCGTTTCCCAGCTACAAGTAAAGCCTGGGTATGTGGGTGAGATAATTAGGATGGTTCGAGGCTCTGTTTTAGATACTAACAAAACACTATCAAAGAGCCAGTTACTGCAGTAATGATACCCTTCAGTGGGGCAAAGTGAAACAAAGGAAAAAGCAGACTGAGAACATCTGCATTCGCTTCCAACAGCTGCATTTGGACTAACGTTGGAAGAAAAAAAACTGTCCAGAAGTGAGAGTCACATACTGCTGCAGACGTCTGGGTTTTCAGACGGTTAAAAAAACCGAGCAGAAAGTTACATTTCAATAACTTGCATCCTGAAGCACAGCCACCATCCTACTCAGCAGGATTCAGACCCAGAGTGAACAGGTGTGACTCACCGTAGCCTTAAGCTATGCTCAGCGCACATTCAGGCAAGTGCACACGCACAAAATGCTAAAGCACACTCAGGAAAAGTCTCAGCTAGATCAAACTTACAGGCAATTTCACAGAAATCCTCTGTTCTGTTGAACATCCTGCCAGGTCACACCATGTTATAAATCTTTACAAACTGCACAGACTGAAAGCAACACAGCACAACCATAGTCGTACGTTCATTCTCAAAGCTTGGCACCAAAACCATAAGGTATGAAAACTGAGCCAACTCAGTGTTGTGGGACGCTCAGAACTGGAAGCTAGAACTGGATGACAAAACTATAACAATTATAATTAAAATTGAAAATTTTTTTTCAATATATACGTGTTTGAAGTATGTTCAATAAAACAACAGTCTCACTTTATTTGGAGAGTCCACTATAGTCCACTATAGATCATCTACAGATGTTCAAATTATTAATAAACTATCTGTTGATTCTAAACAGTGGTGGGGTTTGGGTTAAGATTAGGGCCAGGGTTAGGGCTAGGACCAGGGTGAGGGTTGGGATTAGGCTTTGGGTTGAGGTTAAGGATAGGGTTAGGATTAGAGCCAGGTTTAAATTAAGGTAAATTTAGTACATATGTAGTTAAATGTAACTTAAGTATCTACAAAGCATCTAAAGTGGACTATCCAAACAAAGTGTTACCACGACTGCATTAGTCAATCAACCAATCAATCACTAATAACAGCAAAAGCTTGAACTGTGACTAGCTGCTATATTTGTACACTAGGTGGGGACCCAGGAATAACAATGCACATTATGATTATGGATTACTAATATTGAATGAGATGGAAATGCACATTACTGCAGAGAAGTCAGCAACCACTCATGTAATTTCCAGTCAAAATGGCCATTAAACAAATGCTATTCATATTTCTGAGAAAATCACATATATGATAATCAGATTATACATTGCAGGAGTTTCCACTGTGAGAAGACAACTCAACGCTGTGAGTCTGAAAGGACGTTTGGCTGTCAAGAAGCCCTTACTGAGAAAAGAAAAAGAAAACAGACGGAAAAGAAGAAAAGAGCAGTGGACTGGCCACCCCAGAGTCCAGACTTCAACCAACTTCTAAGACTGAACTGTAAGTGTGGAAAAATATCCCTGCAGATTTCTCCGAAAAACTAAAAGTCTCCTAAAAAGAAATGAAAGTTTTAATACAGGTGGACAGACTAAATACTGAAAAAATATTCACTTTCTGTTAAATACATATCTTTTCTGCTTTTTTCACGGAACAAACAAATAACTTATATTTAATGGACATTTTGATTTCTTAAATAAATGAATGGGGGTCTCTGATTTTGCCTCACATTTACGTGTAACACTAGTCGTAACCAGTCATCCTATCAACACCTAGTCTTAAACATACACTGAGCACACTGTACACGTCCTAGCCTTTACCAACCATACTCAATCATATGCAAAGTGGAATTCCTATGCAGAATTTTCCTCTTTCATCCAGACCAGGAGTCACCCTGAAGGGCAAGAGTACAGCAGTTTTCCCTGCTCACGCACACCTTATTCAACTCATCAGTAAATTACCAGGTTTAGTTTGTGCAAGGTGTGTTTGAGCAAGAAAAACACCAGACGGTGCTGGTGATGAGCCGTGTTCTGGACTTAAGTACCATACTGTAAGCCACTGGTCACTCACGTTGGCAGTAGTCTTTGCTCTCCTCAAATCCCGGCTTGCAGACGCAGCGCCCAATGGGCACCAGCCACCCTCCGTCAGCGCTGCAATACATCCTGGGTGCTTCAAACTCCTCCGAGTCATTGACACAGGAGCCCCGCACCTCAACCAGTGCAGAGTCACCTCCTGTCACCGTGTCAGGGAACTGCGCAAGGTTCAGCACAGCTGTGGGGCACTTCTTGTAGAAGACTCGCAGGGACACCAGGGCGATGCATGCTCCTACGTCCTGGAAGGCCAGGTAGAAGCCCTTCTTGCTGAGGTTGCTGATGTCGCGCACCTCCGTGTTGAGCTTCATGACACGGTCGCCAACGTCGGTCTGTGTGAAGCTTTCGTCAGCTGCTATGGTATCAATCTTGACGTACTGGCTCTCCTTGATGAACCACAGGTTGGGGTTGTTGGACTCATAGTAGTACATGTTGAAGGTTTCCTTACATGTTCCTGGGACCCCAGGCAGACTGTTGCAGTCGCGTAGCGTGAACTTGATCTCAATGTAGACACGTTGGGCGCCATCACGCGGGATGTGGCGTGTCCGCAGCCAGTTGTTCTGGTTGGCCTCCATCACGTTGCACACTTGGTAGGAGCGCATGGGTGTGTTGCGTTCATCCATCACGCTGATCTCCTCCCACTACAAAGAAACAAGAATTAGGTATATACTTATATTCAGGTTGTATCCAAGTTGTTCTCAAACAAAACACTTGTCCTCAACTAGAGGGTGCTAAATGCTAACAATGCAAACTTTGCAATGCAAAATGTTTTTCTGAGAAGTTTGAACATAAACTATTTTAAGTTCCGAACAAAAGCTTTGTCAGTGTTTAAGCTCTGGTGTAGAACTGTGGTATTGCTTTCCTTTTTGCTGTTATCAGATCCTTTAAGTTTCTAACTAGCAAACTAACAGAGTAAAGTGATAACCATTATAACAAATGGAGTAATTTGCAGGCTGATTCCCAGTGAATTGAACGTTATCGTTAGCATTCTCTTAAGTTATTTACTGCTGTGGCTTATAAACTGCTTTGTCTTCCATTTATTTCCAAGGGAAATGAATGTAGGGCACGAGTGGGGACATTTTTATGTTTCTCCTTCTGCCTTTATAGGGCTTTTCCATAGTCTTATGTATCACTGTAGCCAAATGCTACTATGCTTAAACTACAACTAAACCCTAATGTTAACATCCATAACCAAAAATAAATCTTTTAGGCCTTTAAGTTTTTCCAGAAGAAATCTGTTTTTGTGGAAACGGACATTTTTCAAAATGTCCCAAAACGTCAGGATGTTCATGTTATGCTAACATTAAAGAGACACCCCCACAAAGTAAAATGGTGTGTCAATATGTGTGACTGAAGGGGGTATGTGTGTGTCTGTGGAAGCCTATTATGATCTAATTATGCATGCGTATATGTGCGTGTGTGTGCATGGCCAATATTAGGCAAGACAAAGTGACTTTGTCCTCCGTCGTCATGAACCATCTGCTTCCACTTGTGTGAGGTTCTGTAATTGAGGACACTTCTTGCATGAGTAAGAAAACATTTCTATTCCTTAAAGAAAAAGAAAATAAACCAGGCGGGCAGTCATGCCAGTGCAATCCCTCAAACGTCTGATTCCAAAAAAGATTTCGATTTAGCCAAATATAACCCAGATCCCCAAGCGTATGGATCTAATTTGTAGTGGAGATAGGCTCGCGGACCACCGTCTCAGTTTAGAGCTGGAGTGATTTGAGGCTCCCTTTGAGCTACTGAGAAATGAGCAAATGCCTGGTTAGATGTCAAGCTCTAACCAAACAGAAAATCTTGAGGTCTGTTTCTCAAACGCCTGGAGTCGACTCCCCTCAATTTCCCTCAGTCCAGATGCAAAGGGCTCAACAATGGGCTGATTTCTAAAGTGGAGGCATTACAGGCTCAAATAGAAATCAATTCTCCTAGGAGCCCCAGTGTTTGGTACTACAAAACAGGCTGGCGACTGACAATGACACAACAGTCCACTAAAACATGTATGTACACATGGGCCCAAAAAGCATCTGTATGAACTTATGTTTTTATGTAATTTAGGCTACATAATAAAACATTTAACATAATAACTTTTGCTTTTGAGAAAAACACTTTTAGCACAACAAGACTAGACTGTGTGTTGAGAACAACGCCAACCAGACTGCACTAAGTTACCGTAAAGCACAGATGTGGAAACATCAAAGTATGGGGCTGTTTTCCTGACAATAGTGTCAGTGAGCTTGTATTTATTAATAGGAACATGAGCTCAGAAGTGTACAAAGGCATTTTGGATGCATACCTGCAGAAGTCTAAAAGAAAGTGCTAGATTCATTTGCCAAAAAGGAAATGAGTCTTGGAAAGGTCCGTTAAAAATGCCCTTTTTAAGTATGGCACAAATGTCCAAATACTTTTTGGGTCCGATGTATGTACATGTTTACTTTGCTATTTGCTGCTCAGCATTTTTTCCTGGAAAAACCTGCATTCAGCGAGTGCTTACTGGTCCCCTTTAGGAAAGACAGGGCAAGGAACCAGACGTCTGAAAACTTTGATACCTCTAAAAGCTTTCTCATAGAAAGCTATTACACAAAGTGGTTACAAATAAGTTGCCTGATGCCTGAGATATCGTTTTACAATAGATTTGAGATAAGATTTTGGTCTAAAACAAATTTTGTTCAAATCCATTTATGGCAGATTGGTAGATGCAGGGTGTTGTAAGGCAAAATAGTACCCAAAGAAAACCTATTTTTCAGAGTTGCTATTATTTATCAACATGATCCACATACATCAATATTTAGAAGGCATGTGTAAAGATACTTTCTCTGGATAGACAAAGCACTTTTTGTAAGTCGCTTTGGATACTGGATCGCTACTGCTAAATGCTATAAATGTAAATGTGTAGGTTCACTGGCCGTTTTGGACAGCAAATAAAATAATAAAAGCCCTGGTTCCTATAACCACCTCTGTAAAGATATCTGTATGTTTCTGAACGCTCTGAATTACTATGTTTACATCAAATTGAGAAAAATCTGTGAAATTCTCTTCTAAAAATACATTTGCAATTCATATTTGTTTTTGTCATAGGACAAGAAGTGAACACACATAGACCAGATCAAAAGCAACAGGTCTGGAACAGATTAGCTCTTCTCATCTGAGCCAGATTGCTACACAATTCCTTGCCACTCTGGTGGGTTTTGCGCAGAGGCTGGTAAGGCTGTTACTGCAACCTGCCATGAAGTCACAAGCTATAACAACATGATTGTCTTGAGACCCGTTGCCAACGGCATACAGTTAAAAAAAATCAACTTAGGCACAAGGGTCAATTACAACTACAGGCTGGCTTTAAACGGATCCATGTGTGCGTGTGCGTTCAGTTCAGTGGACAGCCGCGGGCGAACATCGCAGATCAAAGTGACATATCTACGGAACGACGTTCTGAGAGAAAAGCTACGCTCTTTCCCTGGAGTGCAGTAATTATGACATTTGGAGGAATATTTACGCAGCAATAAAGACAGGTTTATGAGCTGCTGTTTATTTATTCTCAAAAGTTAGCCCTGCACTCAGCTGCAACAGAAATGTTTCCATTGGGGAGCCATTGTCTGGAGTCAGAAAGTATTTTACCGTTAAGGAGTGGTCTCACAAAGTTTTCAGAAGAACATATAACGCAATGATTGCTGTGCCATATGGGCAGCTGACTTTGAGTATAAACTGCACGCAATTTCCATAAATAGACTGCAATTTCCCACGCGTGAAAAAAGGCATGTTCACGTGCGCATGCTGTTTGGACAGGAGGTAGAGCTTAGCCACTCTCAATCAACACCGCAGTCATATGGATGACGTGGGTGTCTGGTTCATTAGCCTTTCCAACAAGACCTGGTTCTTAGCTTTTTGTCTGAAAAAGCTTAGCTCCATTCAACAGTCACCTACGCAGAGCCTGGTGGCTTTGAAGCAGTGCAAACCCGTCAGATCAGGGCTTCTGCTGAGTCTGTCACTGGCTTAACTTAATTCCCAGCCCACAATCATCTGGTAGTTTAAGATACTTATGGCGTAATTGGCTTTAAATCCCCCAAAGAACGTCTGGTTTTGAAGGGGTTCCTTTATGAAAGACACATCATTAGATTTACCTGTTTTCCATCACCCCACATGAACTGTACCTGTTGTGGTTTAGACAGGCACACACGCATACACTAAATAAGTGCTGAGCGTCAAACCAATGCAAAGCCTCTACATCTGGCCCAGGGCTGGGGGTATTAGCTGTGGCCTGTCAGGGTCAAGTGGCAGACGATTGAGTCACTAAAGTAAATATCCAGTGGTGCAGAGCGGGGAACTATGGGAACGAGCCGTCTTTCCTCTGAGCCCTCAGAACGGAGCACCGGCTGCCACTTCCCCAGGGTAAAGGTCAGCATGCTAATCTCCACGAATGCAACCCAATAGTCCCAAACCTCAGCACCTTTAAATAATCACTGTGATGGGGTAACAAGCTCTATCGGTACGATCAGGGCTAGCCAGTCAGGCCAGCTGGGAACACTGAGGAAAGTTCACTGAGTTGATACCTCAGCACTGATCTGGCTCAAATAGGAATGGACAACAAGAGCAATGCTCTAGAACCAAAAACACTAGCCCGACTTTAGAATCTCTGCTTTAAAAAACAGCCTCTTTATGACGCAACAATAGCATATTGTCACTGCCAGGCCAAAACCTTGCATCTACATTGTTGATGTTTTTATATAATTTGAAGTCACTGGCTGTTCTTTACATTTGGGCAAATAATTCATAATGAATGGAACAATTATTCAAATTTTGGATTTGTGTCACTTTAACTTTAACTTAGTAACGTGAAAACAGCCAAATGTCATGGTTACTGGACCAACTGAAATGGTCCAAGATTACCCGGGAAAAAATCATGTTCCATTAACTCCAAATCAAAGTTGAAATGTAAAGTTACTCTTTTGGAGATTCTCTTCTTACTCATAGTCTTAACCTAGTAGCAAGTCTGGAATTATCAAGTCTGTGATTATCAGTTTTTGCAAACTGAGTTTTTGCTTAATTCAACATGTTTAGATATATTAGATATATTTAGTCAGCACAGAGAGGCAGTTGCACATTTTCAATTCTTACGCACTGTATCACAGCACATGCTACTCACTGCTGTATTTTCTTTGTTTCAGTTTATGCTTGGTTTTCTTATTTTTCTCAATCTGAGCTTCAGTGGCCACTTCATTTGTAGATGTACCAGCCTCAGGATCTTTCTTTCTGAAAGATCATTTTAACCATTTATTCATGATGGAGGAGTTCCATACGATTGAAAAGTGAAGTGTTTTACTTTGACTTGCTCTGAAAAGATGAATATAACTAGCTAGCATTTTGCCAGAACTGTCAAAAAGCCACATTTTTATGGTTTATCCCCTTAAAAGGCCTGGGCCTGCCGATGGGCTCACAATTTTATTACATATGTCTATAACCTAAGAATACCTTGACAATTTTGCATTGGAGTCCCTGTAGTTACTCAATAATAAGCTCTAGTATGCAATAAGACTGGGATTTTAAGGGATTAATAAAACTGATGGCCAGCAGCTCCCTAGCAGTACCACCACGACCTACCAGGGGGCTGCGGCCTCTAGGTCAAAAAACACTGACATAGACGCTATCAATCATTCAGTCATCATTAAAGTGCAATATGTTGAGGTTCATGCTCACATAGCAAAACGGAAAAAGCTGACAGTGAAATTATAAGACACTTGTTTTAAAGTCATTTTTGGGACAAACTTTGGAAAATGACTGAAATGTATGATACTTTTTGCTGAAATTAGTTTAATATCTATTTTGATAGATATTAAAAGCAATTAGGCTCACTCACCCATGTGTCTGTAGTAAACTCAAGGGCAGAAACTTACAGTCAGTTCCATAATAAACATATCAAATATCATTTTAATTAATCTAACTATTATGCCTAACAAAACAGAAGCCATATCATCTGCTACATTTCCTTTGGAAATGACTGCATGTATCATACAAACTTCATAGAGCACTACAGATGCTGTCACAGACAGATCAGCTAAACGTCCTTTTGAAAAGGATAACATTACCCAGCAGCAATGCTATCATGCATCGCCAGCTTTCATTCACTGATAGGCACTTTATCTTCACTTGGTCTTGGCCTTTAAGACAAAGAACATGAGACATGTGGAATTGTCTCAGCTCTGCGTAGACCAGCCTGACCTACTCCCATCATCTGCCCCAAGCAGACCTCCACAGAGTAATCTCCACTCTCCCAGACTATCATACCCTCTAATCTCATTAATGTACATGGAGGGAGCTTACTAGAGGCGATGTAAACACTAAAACCCACTTATCCATTCTCACATCTTCTGCCTAGCATCTCTCTGCAGCCCAGCACCGCCGAGTTCTGAAAGCGGGCAGGCTGACTCAAACATGCTGTGTGGTAAATGTCACTGTGTAGCTCCCAGCCTCTTTTGAGGAGAGGTGGCAGAATCGAATTCGCACCTAAATATTGGCCAGTTGCGTAACATAACAAGGCGTTATGTAAGCCCAGCATTTCTCTATTTAAGAGGAAATGGGCTCTGCCTGCCACACAAATTTTAGGGCTGCAGAAAAAGATTCACCAGGGTCTTCAGATTCAGTCGCCACAAAAGCAAAAAGCTGGAGGACAGACCTGGACTTGTGTATGTTTGAGTACGTGTGTGTGTGTGTTTGTTAATGTTCAGTACAAAAATATCCTGGACAGTACTGCTTTCTCTCAGGCCGGTGCCCTGTGACAGTTAACCAAGTTACCGTGGTAACAGCCCTCAGTGATGGTGAAGACTCACCATGAGTCGCTACTTTTTGGTGGTCCTAAGACCACAGTGGTTTTGGGTCTCAGGAAAAACAATGTGATGTCTCAGCTCTTGTACAGTTGGATGGTGAACATCAGGCAGGAATTCACTGGGCAAAATCAGGCAAAACAGCCTCAAACAAACGGCTTTGGATGGTAAAGTTTGTGTAGAATTCACAATTCCATTCATTATTACTGGACCAATTACAACTTTCATGGCCAATTTCAAGATGACTATACAACGAACTACAACTTTTACTGAACTGCACCATTATTCTATTCTATTATGCGACAAAGGTTAAGCTTCAACTCACGTGTTATCACTGTGTTTGCGTCTGCTTCAGTGTTAGTGAAAATGGCCCGAATAAGGTTATTCTTTTTGTGGCACAGACTTACTTTTGTTTTGTTTTTTGGTTTTGCTGAGTTTTTCTTTGCATCACAACAGTTAAATTTAGCATAAATCAGATATCTCGCATATTCATTAGTTTTATCTCATATTATTCATAAGATATTTCTACATTTAATAACTCTATCGTGTTTCACTCTGGAGCTATTTATGTGTTTTCCTTCTGGAGTCTCAAAACTGCAATGTACAAATATAGTTTAGAATTAGGCTTTGAAAATTCTTATTACACATAGAAATTTACATATTTCAATCATTCTGCCAAATTGCTTTGAAAGCCAGAGTTCAAAACACATTTAGGACTTGGAGTAAAATCCTTTCGCTTTAAATGACCCTATACCTTAAATATGTTTATTTTATTAAAACAAATGAAACATGACAACACTAATGGAGCCAACCAAATGTTTCAGTAGTGAACGTTTCAGTAGAGATATTTTAGCTAATTTTGAGTAGAACCTAAAAACACCAGTACACAACCAGCACTAGCTAAGCTTTAAGCAGTAATTTTTCATTAAAACTCTAAAAAGTTTACTTAACTGCAGAAAATATCTCAGTAGTGACAGTTCGTAATGTTCCACACTGCTTTTCAGACTTTGGGACACATCTGCTTCAAAACAATGGGATCTAACTGCTCACCATGTGGCCAAGAGGCACAGGGATGCAGTCTCACTTCCCGCTCCAAAGTGCAGAGATGTGGCTAAAATAAGGCTCCGCCCACAGGCTAAAACTCTTTGTGTTTCGGTATTGACAGGGAAATATGGGACAGCACTTTTTAAATAAAGCTTTTTTGTTTAAAAACGCATAACAAATCTAAACCTTTCAACTTCACTTGAAAAGAAATCAAAAAGATCTTTAAAATGCTGAGTTCTGGATATGTAATTGTTTTTAATAGATTTGCGTGACAGCAGTTTGAGCTAATTCATTAGAATGGTCCATATATAATACTAGAGAAGGCACGATCTCACTTTTCTTTTTCGGATACCGAAACTGAAACCTAGTTTAAAAACTACAAAGCTTTAAAATCAGCTATTTTGATTGATTTTAAATTGCTATTTATCTGGTTGGTAAGAATTTATTTGTTAAAAAAAACAACATTACATTAAATGCTAATAAATAAATGAACAAAACACTGTGATTTGATGTCTGTTTGCTAATCCATTTCCAAAGCTCTCCTCAAGGAAGGCCAGTAGTTACAGTTATCGTCTGATACCTGGTTTATCTAATGAATCATTCTTTAAATTAACTCCGGTGTGCTGCTGATGGAATGCATGGAAATGCAAGCGATGCCTGAAATAAGGAACTAAACCTGTGTTCTCCTAATTGTGTTCTTCTAAGATATGAATAACTTTAATAACAATAAAAGTCTTGTTCTGTTTTACTTTATGTGTTTGTTTGTATTTATTCTAATGATATGTTGTGTTTTACAGGGAAAAACACACTTACAGCCAAGACCAACCATCTTAAAACGTAAAGCTAAGACTTCAGCACAGTACTATAAGTCCTGTAGATACAAATAATACATATGGAACATCTGTATGGCTCGTACATTATATAAAAACAAACCTGGTGTGTGGGTGTGAGATATGTTCCAGTCTCTGATCGCTCTATTAAATCATTAAAAAGGCAGCTGAGAAATCCTGGAGATTGATTTTCTTTAAAGCCCAGCATGACTTTCGCTAACTTGATTATTTTTAGGCTGCAGCGGGTGCATCTCTCTTTCTCTCTCAGGAAGGTCCGCTCTGCCATGAGGGATTGTGTTCCTGCTTTATGGGATCTTAATCTCACTTCCTCTTCAAATAAGCAGGAAAACATGTCTGGGCTTTGGCTGTTCCACTAAACCTGTGCTGCTCCTCGCTGGAAACAAAACTAAGCTCTTTAAATCCAGCTGTCTGTGGAAACCTCAGGGATGACCTTGACTCTGCTTCACAAACACGTGTGCACACACACATAATGGACATATCTGAACTAGAGAACACACTTTCTGTGCAGTGCGCTCCGATCCATGTTCATAAATATTCATGAGCAGGTGGGTTGGGACCTCCCGCTGCTATTCTAAGGAAAGAATGCATTTTCTATCGCAATTACTGGCACAAAAAACGTGCAAGTCTTGGACAAAGGTTCACAAAAGTGCTCTGGGTCCAGGGGAAGTGAGTCGTTTGGATATAATGACACACAGTGGTTTTCTGGCCAGCTTGCAAAAGCTTAAGTACATGACTAGAATGAACTATGACAAACATGTGGATACAAACCTTTAGCACTTACTAAACTGGGGCCAACCACCATTTACAGAAGGACTCAACTGATATATCGGTTTGGCTGACAAATATCAAGGTGTTATGGACTTAATGGCATCAAAAATAACATCATTAAAGAGATGATATTGCTTTGAAGTTGTTTGTTCTATAATAAATTAAACAAGCAGCTCTAAACGGTCTATTCTGCAGATTTAAATGGGTTCATGCAGACTGTTCACCAACTACTCATCAGAAGCTTGTGGAGTCCATGCCAGAAAAAGGGGGCATAACAACTACTAAGAAATTCTGAAATTCATGTGACTATTTCAAAGATTCTACTTTCACTTATGCTTAACTTGTTTTGCTGATAATGTAGTTTGTAATGAAACAATATTGCATTAAATTACAGTAGAACGTAAAATAGAAGTGTTTTCATATATCAGTCAATTTTATCAGATATTAGAATTTTTACCTTATAATCATCATCAGTTCATATCATTTGGCACCTATAATAAAGTGCATGAGCATGTTACATATTATTACATATTACTGGCTGTGGACAGTCTTGATTTGCTGCTACTCACCCCTTCTGCTGGATAGGCCTCCCAACCCAGGTCTCCCAGTGCAGACATAGAGTCCAGTAGCGTAACTAGAGAAAGAAAGAGAGAGAGAGAGTCAGAGTGAATGATTCAGGGTACCTTAGCAAACCTTGTGACACTTGTGGCAGTTTTGGCCATATGAATTTACAGTTGCTTTTGGCTGGTGGTAAATTACTGCTTGGTGGAAGACAATCAGGACAGCAGCCTGTGGGGTTTTAGTCTAGCCTTACAGTCTAAATCATTCCCAGAAGCCCCGAAGTCATCACCCTGGGGAAAAGCATGCTGCTTGTGACCCTCACAACAGAAACAATGGTTTGTGAGTCAGAGCAATCAATAACAGACCCATGACATGAGGCATGCAAAAACAAAGCCTGCGCACACTCACTTCAGCAGCAACAGTGTTATGGTTACTCTCTACTGAGAGTATGGTAAGTCTCTACTGCAGGTCATGTAAGGATACATTTTGTCTGTGGATAGTTAGGGGGCACCTTGCCTGCCTTTGAGTAATTTCATTGTTTTACACTTTTACTTTTCAATTAAGTAAGAAAAAGCCTGCAAAGACTAGATTAACATAAACATATTATTAACATATTATTAACATATTATTTGCCTCACACTACACTATACACTCTACACACTCTACTTGATGAGTGAGGGTGAGGAGCTTTGCCATCCGAGAGGAGCTCGGAGTAGAGCTGCTACTCCTCTACATTGAGAAGAGCCAGTTGAGGTGGTTCGGGCATCTGATGAGGATGCCCACTGGACGCCTCCCGGTGATTAACAGGGGTTTACCAGGCACAGCCTACTGGGATGAGACCCTGGGATCGTCCTAGAACCCGCTGGAGGGATTATATCTCCAAGTTGGCTCAGGGTCCCCTGGAATGAGCTGGAGAAAGGACAGGGCTGCAGGGGACAGGGTCGTCTGGGATTCTCTGCTCTCCCAACTACTACTGTGACCCTATCTAGACTAAGCGGTTAAAGATGTTGATGATGATGATGATGATGATGATTATGATATTTGCTAATACTTTAAGTACATTCTCAAATTTCTGTTTCAAGATCATTAAAATATCTACCTTAGTATGAAGAGCAGGTTATGCTTAAATAATGATCTGACAGTGTTTTTTTTCCATATTATTGTTTAAAAAACATACTGGCCCAAAGGTGGTTTTAGCATATGAAAGGTTTGAGCGCTGAGGATAAAATGAGTGGGCTTTGACATTAATCCCTAATTAGGACTGTCACAAATACCTGCATGTGTGATGTTTTCTTTAAAATAAACCTGTGTAGGTACTAAAGTACTGGGGCACCACATGAGTACCTTAACTGAGGCTGCATCTGGTTAGTCTGTAATTCAAGTTATTGGAAACTGACAAAGAAAACTGTTTGAAAAGCTAACGCTCCTCAAACGTCTGACAGGCAATTTACATCAACGAATATGAACACAGGAATATGCCGGTTTAAAAGCTGGTTTAAATCTTGGAGAATGCTCCCCTCTTCCCTGTCCTGAGCCTCTGAACTGTGTTTTCCCAGTCTGTGCTCTACTCCAGGGTAATTAAGGTCTCGGCATTGCGAGGCATTAATTTTTAATTAGGGCCCATCTGCAGATGTTGTCTTTTCACCCTACAGTGCAGACTCGAGCTCTAGATAAGTCATACAGGCAGACACACTTACGTTCACTGACATAAGATGCAGAAACAGACAAAAATAAAATCCAGATCTGATTTTCGAATGGTTTCTCCAACTGCTTTCGAAAAGAGGCCATGCTTTTTAGGAATGTGAGTGAATGTAATTGAGGTAAATCAATTCAGACTGAATGTCATAGACATGCATTGTTCTAAGCAAAAGTCAAGTCCACCCTTCATTTATTTTCACTGCAAAAAAAAAGAGCAAGGTCCATTATTTGCGTCTCATGATCTCATGATGTTGAGGCCTGGGCTCTGGGGTGGTCAGTCTGTTGTTTTGAGATCACCTACAGCTGTTTTGCTTCATTTGCAAACTTTCTTCCTTTTCACTTTTTCTAAGTAACGACTTCTCGACAGCTATGCATCCTTCTGGACCCCTACCATCGAGTTATCGTCTCACAGTGGAAGAACGGTTGCGGATTTTTTCAGATCTTAAGCAAAAGTTGTGTTAGATTTTCTCCTCTCTCTCAAAGATGAAAACATTGGGTGCTGTTTATCAGATGGGGGCAGTTTTGGTGGTCTACCAGGTCTTTCATGGTTGTTAAGACTCACATTTTCTCTATATCTTTTCAAACATATTTCAACTTTCACTCATTTGCTTTGACCTTCCTCTTTCATATGCAAGCCAATTATCTTATATCTCCTGAAAATGAATTACTTGTACTTAACAGGTATTTTGCCTGGAAATCAACTAAAAGAAGGGTGGTCTCTGACTTTTGCACAGGACTGGATTTAATTCTATCAAGCCACTTAGTGAAATCTGAGACATATATTAGCGTACAGCAGTTTTGATGCAAAAAAAGTGCATACATAGATGCACAGACAAAAACACCTTTACAGTCGATATTCTAGGAAATCATCACAGAGATGCTGCTGAGCTCAGGCTGGCTTCACTTAAATCACTTCACTGTAGCATATAGGTCACATTACTGGCTTCTAATGCTTAATTGATTTTGTTGGATTGTTTAGTGTTTTACTGTAATGTCAGGACAGGTCAATACAGGAAACAAATACTGAATACACTCCAAAACAGGTGAAGGGAGACTGAGAGAAATGGAAAGAAAGACAGACAGACAGAGAGAGAGAGAGAGAGAGGAAAAAACAAAAGAGTACAGAAAGCAGATGAGATGCTGATGACAAGATTGAGATTTACTCTGCAATGCACTGATGTACTGCAGTGTGTATGTATGCATTAGTGTGTAGGGTGCACTGGTTTGATTTATAAGGACAGAGGCGTGTTTGTAAAAGATTAATGAATGGTGATTCATGTTTCATAAATAGTTTCCTGCATGCCGACTGCAATTCTTCACCCAGCGAGAGCTGCATTCATCCTGCCTCTCTATTGAGCACACTGTGAAGAGCTAGAAACAAGCACGGAGGGAGAATTCCATTCCACACAAGACTCTTCAGACTGTCTGCAGCTGGCATGCTCAGATGATTTCACGATGACGGGTCCCGACTACATACTCAGCACTGAGACTGTTCATTTTTGCCATAGCTGACCTCTATCACTCCAAAGAAAAAATCCAGGGGCTTAAAACCCTTCACATACTAAAACCTGAACCAAATTCAGATTTAAATAGTGATGTGCGTTTGAATTATTGTTCTCTTTAGAAGTAGCTGTATTATTCCTACGCATGTCTTGTTAAGACCTAGTTATTAGTGGTGCAACCGTTTAATCCTTGTTCTTTTGAATGTTACGAATAGAACAAATCACTTGTTACTAACAAAACAGAACTGTTTAAACTAATATAAGTGACATTGTCCTCTGACTTCACTGCCTTACAGACTGTGAGTGACTCAGGTAGCGTTCACAAGCTAACCATGCATGTGAATCAACGAGGAAACGCAACACGAGATTTACAAGCCAGTGCTTCAGCACTGCTGACTCTAAATCAACCAAACTGTATGTATCTTGCATGTTTTTCATTTCGTTTTATCAGACTCTGACATGTCAATGCTCTGTAGAGGAGCTGACTAACAATCACATAATGCTGATATACATAATTAAAGGTAGTGGCCATTCAACAACACCAATCAGAGACTTTTTTTGCTTTAACTTAGTTGCCAGTCACTCTCTTTTCACCTAGATAGCATAATATTGTAGACGAGAGTGAAGAGTCAAATGAAAGCGCACAGGCTGTACTACGCTTGAAATCACGGAACAACTAATGTGAGGGCTGTGGCGCCCTGCACAGTGTGCTCTCCTCATACGCAGAGCAGGAGAGGAGATGCCGCTACAATATAATTACTGTGAGATTTATGAAAAATCATTCTCTAAAATGTTATCCAAAACATGGGCTTTTTGTTCTCAGTGATCACTTCACAAACCCCGAAAATGATCTTACAAGCCCCAGATTGAGAACCGCTAATTAGTCCAATTATCACTAGTGTTTAGGCATTGCAAATGTTTCCTCTGAAATAATCACTATGTGACCACATCGTTTTAATTATCCAATATTTTTGGGTGAATAAAATAGATTTTCTATTTTTTATGCCATCTCTGACTTGTGTGTATCATACTAATCAACATTTAGATATATCTGGTACGCACACACACATACACCTCTATCTATTTTTATATACTATATTTATACTGTTGGTAAAGCCAACAGTATAAATATAAGTATAATATATATGGCACTTTTGTCGGAAGAAAAATCTCCAAAATGGTAACTTTACAGGAGAAGGAAAAAACCTACATTGCTTTTAATGTAAGTCAATGGAACTAGAATTTTAAGTGATTGTGGGCTGTTTCTTTTGGTCCATTCATCATGGAATTTACACACAATGTAAAGGGCAACAGGGCGGCACGGTGGTGCAGTGGGTAGCGCTGTCGCCTCACAGCAAGAATGGCCTGGGTTCGATTCCCGGCCGGGCGACCGGGGTCATTTCTGTGTGGAGTTTGCATGTTCTCCCCGCGTCTGCGTGGGTTTCCTCCGGGTACTCCGGTTTCCTCCCACAGTCCAAAGACATGCAGTCAGGCTGATCGGACGTGCTAAAATTGCCCCTAGGTGTGAGTGTGTGTGTGACTGTGTCTGTCTGCCCTGCGATGGACTGGCGACCTGTCCAGGGTGTATCCTGCCTTCCGCCCAATGACAGCTGGGATAGGCTCCAGCGCCCCACCGCGACCCAGAAGGATAAGCGGTTTAGATGATGTATGTATGTATGTATGTATGTAAAGGGCAACAGGCATTTTCAAATTATGTCAAAAGGTTTTCAAGGGTTTCTTCCAACAGCAGCAACAGGTATAATATATAAAGAGTCCAGACAGTGTAGCCTAAGTATAGCACAATATCACAATAAACATTACTAAAATAATCGATAAAATAATCAAATGCAAACAGTTTTTACACCCTAGATGT